AATATGTGTAGGGGTCTTAATTCCTTTTGTCTGGAGAGCAAGTTGTGGAGAATATTAGTTTTCTTTCTTAGATCGGAGCATTTATCTGTAATACGAGTAGGGTTCTTAATTCCTTTTGTCTGGAGAGCAAATTGTGGAGAATATTAGTTTTTTTTTAGATCGGAGATTTATCTGTAATATGTGTAGGGTTCCAAACTCCTTTTGTATGGAGAGCAAGTTGTGGAGAATATTAGTTTTTTTCTTAGATCGGAGATTTATCTGTAATATGTGTAGGGTTCTTAATTCCTTTTGTCTGGAGAGCAAGTTGTGGAGAATATTAGTTTTTTTCTTAGATCGGAGATTTATCTGTAATATGTGTAGGGTTCCAAACTCCTTTTGTCTGGAGAGCAAGTTGTGGAGAATATTAGTTTACTTTCTTAGATCGGAGCATTTATCTGTAATGCGAGTAGGGTTCTTAACTCTTTTGTCTGGAGAGCAAGTTGTGGAGAATATTAGTTTTCTTTCTTAGATCGGAGCATTTATATGTAATATGTGTAGGGTTCTTAATTCCTTTTGTCTGGAGAGCAAGTTGTGGAGAATATTAGTTTTTTTCTTAGATCGGAGATTTATCTGTAATATGTGTAGGGTTCCAAACTCCTTTTGTCTGGAGAGCAAGTTGTGGAGAATATTAGTTTACTTTCTTAGATCGGAGCATTTATCTGTAATGCGAGTAGGGTTCTTAACTCTTTTGTCTGGAGAGCAAGTTGTGGAGAATATTAGTTTTTCTTTCTTAGATCGGAGCATTTATATGTAATATGTGTAGGGGTCTTAATTCCTTTTGTCTGGAGAGCAAGTTGTGGAGAATATTAGTTTTCTTTCTTAGATCGGAGCATTTATCTGTAATATGTGTAGGGGTCTTAATTCCTTTTGTCTGGAGAGCAAGTTGTGGAGAATATTAGTCTTCTTTCTTAGATCGGAGCATTTATCTGTAATACGAGTAGGGTTCTTAACTCTTGTGTCTGGAGAGCAAGTTGTGGAGAATATTAGTTTTCTTTCTTAGATCGGAGCATTTATCTGTAATATGTGAAGGGTTCTTAACTCCTTCTGTCTGGAGAGGAAGTTTTGGAGAATAATAGATTTTTTCTTAGATCGGAGCATTTATCTGTAATATGTGTAGGGTTTGTAAAGAACGCTCCTGAACTCTACTAGAAAGACCTATGATGCTCTCGAATAGAGAGACTCCTCACACTACGAGGACTATAATTCATTTTAAAACCTTATTTAAAGAACTGTGAATGGTAACAATTTAATTGAGAATTACGCATGCGTAAAAAGATGAGACTTCTGTTGAGACGCCTGTCAGAAAGAGTTTGGGAAGCTCCGCCAGCGAGCTGAGGTGTGGAGACTAAATTTGTCCAGTGATGACGAGTGCTATCTTCGTTAACGTCTCTGATCGTGTCACCAACTCGGATATGTACTCAAGTTTTTCTAAATGTATTAATTAAATGTTGTATCTGTGTTATGTTGTGTAATTAAAGTGATTCATCACCAATACCAGTGTTGATTCCGTTCCCACTGAAGCATCCACGACGTCACAGGTTCCTAATTCCTTTTGTCTGGAGAGCAAGTTGTGGAGAATATTAGTTTTCTTTCTTAGATCGGAGCATTTATCTGTACTATGTTTAGGGTTCTTAACTCCTTTTGTCTGTAGACCAAATGTGGAGAATATTAGTTTTCTTTCTTAGATCGGAGCATTTATCTGTACTATGTGTAGGGTTCTTAACTCCTTTTGTCTGTAGACCAAGTTGTGGAGAATATTAGTTTTCTTTCTTAGATCGGAGCATTTATCTGAAATATGTGTAGGGTTTTTAATTCCTTCTGTCTGGAGAGGAAGTTGTGGAGAATATTACTTTTTTTTTTCTTAGATCGGAGCATTTATCTGTAATATGTATAGGGTTCCTAATTCCTTCTGTCTGGAGAGGAAGTTGTGGAGAATATTAGTTCTTTTTCTTAGATCGGAGCATTTATCTGTAGTATGTGTATGGTTTTTAACTCCCTTTGCCTGTAGAGCAAGTTGTGGAGAATATTAGTTTTCTCAGATCGGAGCATTTATCTGTAATATGTGTAGGGTTCTTAACTCCTTTTGTCTGTAGACCAAGTTGTGGAGAATATTAGTTTTCTTTCTCAGATCGGAGCATTTATCTGTAATATGTGTAGGGTTCTTAACTCCTTTTGTCTGTAGACCAAGTTGTGGAGAATATTAGTTTTCTTTCTTAGATCGGAGCATTTATCTGTAATATGTGTAGGGTTCTTAACTCCTTTTGTCTGTAGACCAAGTTGTGGAGAATATTAGTTTTATTTCTTAGATCGGAGCATTTATCTGTACTATGTGTAGGGTTCTTAACTCCTTTTGTCTGTAGACTAAGTTGTGGAGAATATTAGTTTTCTTTCTTAGATCGGAGCATTTATCTGTAATATGTGTAGGGTTCCTAACTCCTTTTGTCTGGAGAGCAAGTCGTGGAGAATGTTAGTTTTCTTTCTTAGATCCGAGCATTTATCTGTAATATGTGTAGGGTTCTAACTCTTTGGGAGGAGAGCAAGTTGTGGAGAATATTTTGTTCTTAAAGATTTTAAAGAAAAGAATATTTTTTTCTTAGATCGGAGATTTATCTGTAATATGTGTAGGGTTCTTAATTCCTTTTGTCTGGAGAGCAAGTTGTGGAGAATATTAGTTTTCTTTTATAGATCGGAACATTTATCTGTAATATGTGTAGGGGTCTTAACTCTTTTGTCTGGAGAGCAAGTTGTGGAGAATATTAGTTTTCTTTTATAGATCGGAGCATTTATCTGTAATATGTGTAGGGGGTCTTAACTCTTTTGTCTGGAGAGCAAGTTGTGGTAAATATTAGTTTTCCTTCTCAGATCGGTGCATTTATCTGTAATATGTGTAGGATTCTTAACTCCTTTTGTGTGTAGACCAAGTTGTGGAGAATATTAGTTTTCTTTCTTAGATCGGAGCATTGATCTGTAATATGTGTAGGGTTCTTAATTCCTTTTGTTTGGAGAGCAAGTTGTGGAGAATATTAGTTTTCTTTCTTAGATCGGAGCATTTATCTGTACTATGTGTAGGGTTCTTAACTCCTTTTGTCTGTAGACCAAGTTGTGGAGAATATTAGTTTTATTTCTTAGATCGGAGCATTTATCTGTACTATGTGTAGGGTTCTTAACACCTTTTGTTTGTAGGCCAAGTTGTGGAGAATATTAGTTTTCTTTCTTAGATCGGAGCATTTATCTGTAATATGTGTAGGGTTTTTAATTCCTTCTGTCTAGAGAGGAAGTTGTGGAGAATATTAGTTCTTTTTCTTAGATCCTAGCATTTATCTGTAGTATGTGTATGGTTTTTAACTCCCTTTGCCTGTAGAGCAAGTTGTGGAGAATATTAGTTTTCTTAGATCGGAGCATTTATCTGTAATATGTGTAGGATTCTTAACTCCTTTTGTCTGGGGAGCACGTTGTGGAGAATGTAAGTTTTCTTCCTTAGATCGGAGTATTTATCTGTAATATGTGTAGGTTTCCTAACTCCTTTTGTCTGTAGAGCAAATTGTGGAGAATATTAGTTTTCTTTTTTAAAGCGGAGCATTTATCTGTTATATGTGTAGGTTTCCTAACGCCTTTTGTCTAGAGAGCAAGTTGTGGAGAATGTTAGTTTTCTTTCTTAAATCGGAACATTTTTCTGTTATATATGTAGTAAACTCCTTTTTGTGTAAGTTAAACGTCGAGGAGCCTTGTATAACTTTGTAGAGACTTACCGCTGTTTCCAGAAGAACTAAAACGTAGACTCGCGAATTGTTAAAATACCATTTTATTCACTCAAATAGGAATAAAGGTCGGTCTCTGCTCTGGCATTATCTCAGAATAAGAACTGAGAAACTAAACTATAATTAACTTGGACAAGACTTAGCCGAAGATAAACACAATTATTTAATGTATATCGCTCTTAAATTAAACTGACCTGCGAATATCAATGCGGCCGAGCATTACAGCTTGAAAATTGACTTAGCCCGAAAGTAAACACGAGCTGCTCAGGATTCCTAGCACTCACTATCGAAGTTGAACCTTTCTTAAATACTTCTGCTTACTCATTTGTATTCAACGTTATTCTAAAAACTCATTCTGGTAGAGATTTGTAAGTGGAAGCAGTAATTTATAAAAAAGGGCTTCAAAATTGAAACAACTTTTAAAAAATTAAGATGTACCATATCTATTTATGCAAAAATGTTTTCAAATTTCTAAAAATAAAGTATTTTATTGAGCATCTTAAATCCGGTTCTTGTGTTGGATCGCCCTTAACATGAAGAGAGATTCCATTATTTAAGGAAAGGAACGAAAAGAGCAAAAATATTGTTGACGAAATCCTTTATTCAAATAATCAAACATATATCTGGTTTAGTTCGTAGCGATTTCAAAATATTTCCTTATCGAGGTAACATTTTTATCATATCGAATATTCCAGCAAAAAACAGACACCGAAGGGGCTTTTGTGGTTCAACATATTTTACATTTTATTATTCTGCAGGTGAATAGGAATTACGATTTATTTCTGGTACAATAATGGAGGAGATTCTTTCCGTGGCACGACAAATCCTGAAACTGCCCATTCGCTACTGACTCTAAACAACATAGTTGTCCTAAATATGGTATTAAAACAATTTCGGTTAAAATAATAGCTTTTAACATCTATCTTCTATCGGAATTCTCTTGGAAGTCGTAATCGGATCTTTTTCCAGGACCGCCCAGGAATTCAGACACTCTTTTCGAAAAAGTACCGTGCATAAAATTTCCTGTTCCATGCCTCTTTCCTGGACCACCGAGGAATTCGGAAAGCCTTTTACCAGGTCCACCGAGAAATTCGGAAATTCTTTTCCCAGGTCCTCCGAGAAATTCGGAAACTCGTTTCCCAGGTCCTCCGAGAAATTCAGATACTCTCTTCCCAGGTCCTCCAAGGAATTCGGAAACTCTTTTGCCTGGTCCACCAAGGAATTCCGATAGTCTCTTGTCTGTTTGTTCAGGTATCCAATCGGGCGAAAAGGAATCTTCAGGATCTGTAAAACATTACAGTGGTGTGAGAATACATCAATAATTAAAAGGCCCTGTTATTTCAGACAGTCAGTTAAAACCCATAAGATCCTCGAATAGGTGACTGTTGCAAGAATTGGGATAACTTATTTATTTTAAAAGCAATTACTTCCAACATTTTACAGCTGACTACATAATAAAGCTTCTTTCTGAAATAGTCATCAGAAAGTTTGTGTTGCCACAAATAATTTTATAATTTAATCCGCTCTGTGACAAAATTTTTCGTCGTGTTTCCACCTTGCACACGCAGTTTGAAACATTCTGTTGCGTAATTTAATTCCATATTTAATATATAGCTTTTATAACATTTGGAAACTACTGTGAACCCAAAATTCTAAGACTTTCATGTTAAATATTTATTCTATTTGGAGTTGAGTTTATCAAATATTATTTATTAAAAATATCTGTAATGTTTTCGTTCATAAAAGTTTTTAATATTAAAATATTCATCAGATTTTTGGTTCAGTTAGAAAATAGTGCCCATATAAAGAATTCCATCGAATTTCAAGTACGTACCATTAGCCATTTTTAAAATATCATGGGCGAAACATGGAAACATGACGGAAAATTTTGTCACAATGCGGATTAAATTACAAAAATATTTGTGGCAACACAAACTTTCTGGTTACTAGTTTCCAAAGCAGCTATATTATGCAGTCAGCTGTAAAAGGTTGGAAGTAAGTGCTTTTAAAATAAATAAAATATCCCAATTCTTGCAACAGTCACAAAATTCGAAGATCAAAAGTTGTGTAAGGTGTATGAGCCGCCTTAACAAATTAAATCTCGCATTTCTGTTTGATTTACACGGGAAGGCGAAATAAATAAAAGCTAATAGCACAAAAGTATAGACTTTTTACTTAAAGAATTAAGTACCAGTGTATTGTCTTTTAAAGACTACGTCAGTTACCAAACATTTATGGTTTAAATACCTCTTATTAATAATACTTACACAACAGTACTGTGAGGAAGATTTAGATACCTAATGGGTATCATACCAATAGCGAAATGTATTCTTTTTCAAATCATGAATAAATCGTGGTAATTATTTTTTATACAATTCGTTAAAAGTAATTTTCCTCATAAAGCAAACTACCATTTCTCTTCCGTAATTATCACGAAACTTTCAGGTGTGATCAAGCAGCGGAACAAAACAAAAAGGTCAAAGTGGGCTTTTCGCAATCATCGGCAGTCCCCCAAAACAAGGAGAAGTGAATGTGTATTGTAATAAGGCCGTATATGACATTACACATCCACTTTATACCCTACAACCCATATTATATCACTCAACAACAAGGTACAGTGCGGGGAAAATAAAAAAAGGGGACACAGTTCTATATCTCCCGTTCTACTTTGCCGATTGACGAAGTTCAACTTACGCTTTTCATGTCTCGAAAGCGCGACTTAGGATATGTATTAGATGTATATATAGCATTGTTCTAATATAGGTATTTTGACACAAAATCGGACCTTTTCTGAAATGAGATGCGAATTTTTTCCCATGTTTCAATTCTACGAATCAAATTATGCCAAACTGTTAAGTTTTGTAAAAAATGGCACGAAAAGGTTTTAAAAAATTAGCTCTCAAAACTTCAGCTCCCGCATGTGCATTGAATTCGGTACATATTTATTAATATATCTTTTTTATTTAAACTTATTTGATTCTTTCTTTCACATTTTGAAATTTAGGTTCATTCCAAGCCCATTTTTATGACTTTTTCTAAATTTGTATTTTTAAATAAATTTTATAAATTTTTCGAAAACGTTTTGAATTATAACCTATAAAATTTACCTATTTACCTATCACTTATAAAATGTTAGAAAATAGTACAACATTTTCATATTTACCATTAAATAAAGTATTTAATTACTTAAATAGGTTATTCATTTCGCAGATTGAATGTATTTTAATTGACAGTTGGAGATAAAAATGATGTAGCTCATTAATTTTACGCACTTCCCAATACACCAATGATTATCTACACTGGTGTGCAAAAATTAAGGACGAAGTCGAAAAATTAGCATGTCAGCTGAACGAAGAGGCAAAGCGGACAGAAAGACCCATCAGGAGATTAAGTAAGGTGATGTACGGTAGCACATGCGCAGATACGCAGGTAGACGTAATGGGGGAGTGTCTGAGTAGTATAAAGCATGTTGTCGGTGTAAGATCAGTATTTCTGGCAAAGAGATTGCACGCCGAGCCGTTTATAGCAGTTAAAATCATCACACCGAGTTGCTGCCTCAGCGAGAAATGGCGAATAACGAATAATCAACTGTTAGACGACATCTGGATGCTTTTACCCCCGAGGTCGATCGAATCATTGGGAAGTTCGAGGTAGGCCGCCAGTGCGGCGACAAGCGTGGCTGCAGAGTTCGGAATTGCTCACAGCACCGCATCGTTTCACGACTTTGGAGACAATTTCAAACTACAGGAACAGCTATCCGGGGGTTTAGTAGTGGTCGTCCACGAGGAACCACACCCGCAGATGACCGCTATATTGCCTTACAGGCCGAAGAAGAAAGACAGAAACAGGCGGCAGACAGCGGGGAACAGCGGAGAAATCGCTAAACACACGACACAGGCGACTGGACGACCGATATCGCGTTTTACCGTGGCCAGTGGCCAGAAGACTGCACGGTGGTGGTCTGTTTGCACGACCCCCTGTACGGTGTGTACCTCTAACGCCTGCCCATCGGAGAAGGCGTTCTCTGTGGTGCCGGGAACACCGGAATTGGAGAGACAATGAATGGAGACGAGTACTTTTTACAGATGAGAGCAGATTCAGTCTGAGTAGCGATTCCCATCGCATACTCATCTGGAGAGAGCGGGGAAGCCGCAATCATCCCTCGAACATCATTGAAAGGGACAGGTATGGAGGTGGCGGTGTTCTCGTTTGGAAAGGAATCATGCTTGATAGTGGTACAGACCTTCACATCTTCGACGCAGTCAACGGGACCCGTTATTGTAACGAGATTCTTCTTCCATATGTGCGTCTTTTTAGAGGCGCTATGGGTCCTTTTCATGGACGACAATGCACCATGTCATCGCACAGTAGCTGCCGAACAGCTCTTAGAGAGTGAGGATATTGAACGTATGGATTGGCCGGCACGATCTCCGGATCTCAATCCCATCGAGCATATATGGGATTTTCTAGGCAGACGCTTGGCAGCTCGTACCTTACCACCAGTAACGATTCCGAAGCTTCGATTGGCGCTGCAAGACGAATGGGCAGCAATGCCTCAACAACTCATTGACACTCTCATTCTCAGCATGGGCAGACGCTGTGAAACCTGCCTAGCAGTCAGGGGTGATCATATCCCCTATTAAAGACCGGATGTTTCTTGCTGGACACCCATCACAGGGATATTTCGGCCTTCAGTCACATTGCGCTCCATGCTACTTTTTCAATAAAGCTTCTTTTTATCCCTCTGATTTCTCTTTTAGTAAGTGTTGCTAACATTACTCATGTCCTTACGCATTGGGGATCTTACGGTATTAAATGTGTTGATTAGGAAAGCTTTTGTACAAAGTTATATTGAAAAAACCGTCTCGTCCTTAATTTTTGCACACCAGTGTACATCAGGAATGGCAAAACCGCAGCACGGCGGAGAGAAAGGCACTACGGAAACAGTAACTTTTTGAAAAATTAATAGATCTGAAAAAATAATACTATCACCTGTATGAACTCTGTTGATAGATTCACACATAAAAGTATTAGAATAAATGTAATAATTCGATTTCTCTACAAGACGTTAATTGTGACCAAACTGAAATTCGAACCTCAATTGACCTTCAGCAACACACTACACCGAAAAGCAAATATAAGGATCTTAGCTCCAGTAGAGTGGTGTATCATCCGGGTACCTGGCTACAAGGTCCTATAAGGTATTTCTCCCGCCTTCTTAGCATGCCTTCGTGGTGTAGTGTCAGCACACTCGGCGCGTATTGGAGAGACCCATGGTTCGAGTCCTGGCAAAGGCGTTGCACATTTTTCATGGCTCCTGCTTCGAAATACCCTAATGTCTCTACAAGTGGTGCCCGAATTAAAAAAAGTGGTGAATGATGATTCTTCTCCACCACGATTTGGCGACTGGGTGTCCTAAAACCCCAGTCGCCCTTTAAAAGAGGGACTGTATAAGGTATTTCTGCAGCCTTCTTAGCATGCTTTCGTAGTGTAGATATGAGCCCGATGGGCACGTATTCGAGAGGCCAATGGTTCGAATCCAGGCGAAAAGACTGCACATTTTTCATGTCTCCTGCTACGAAATGCCCTAATATCTCTACTCTAGTTAACCAGGCACGAAGTTATAATAAGTTGGAAGAAACAAGATTAATGGACCAATTTCAATTGTAAGTATTCTTTTGGAAATTTGTACCAACAAGAAATTTTCCAATTTACACCATTTTGCTGTCAGATATTGTTATAGGTTTGGATCAACGTATGTTTGCGAAGAAATGTTTCCTATTATGAGTGTAATAAAATCAAAATATCGTTCAGGATTAACTGATATGCACCTAAAACACCTAACTCTGTTAGCATCTTCAAGAACTAATGCTAATATAGGTAAATTTAATTCCAAGTAACTATTAAGTTACTTGGAATTAAATTTTTCAAATTATTCATTTTTATTTAATGCATAACCTAACTGACTGAACCTTTTAAAGGGTTTATTAACAATAAATCCCTAGTTTACACCTTTGTTTTATTTATTACATTATTTTTCAAATGCCGACTACTCAGACGTGCATGAAAAATGTGCTATTTGAGTATAAATCCCATAATCAGCATATAAATACAATCTTTTTCACGTATTTTTTTGGTATGTTGGAAAAGTTGGGAGTGGGACGCATAACTTTTTTTTTCCAGATAGTATCGCACTTCCCAAAAAGATTCCCCACCCCTGATCTAAATTTTAGAAGTTTTGAAAATTAAAATATTTTAAAAATCCAGTTGGAAAGATTATTTTT